TTTTTTTTTTATTTCTGTGTGGAGGCGAACAGAATCACTTTCCTTCACCTTTAAGTTTGTTTATCGTGTGATCTGATAAAGCACTCTTACTGGCATTTTACCTGCAAAGGTTTGGATAGATTACAGAAACAACCGTGGCTGCTGTCAACTGTAGAAAAATGTTTTCTTTCTCTTCGGCGCGCTGTGTGTGGAGTCAGAGAGGCTCCGCCATAAACAACTACAGCACCATCCTCGCTGCTGCTGCGTCATCAACTTTCATGTCGGCTAAAAGTGAAGCTGCTCAGGCTGAATCTCAGAATCACTTTTTACAGCCAACACACGTCTACATTTTAGTCGCAAACTCGAGGTAAATGTTAAATGCGTCCTTTACTGTGAAAACATAATCCTTACTTCAGCTAGTTTTCTTCACATGTGACTCAGTAATGGTAGAAACTTCATCTCTGGCTCGTAAGGGCTGACCAATCAGCTTGCCTGACATACGTCTTTGTTGCATTTTCATTACTAGCCATCAGTGCAACATCCTGCAATTACCAGAACCCTGCACACATATTCTTGGCCTATCAATCAAATTCCTTTCACTTCGCTATGTGGCAAACTGAAACGATTTCATGAGAGTAGCATTTAATGTTTAAATGGATCCAGCTTAAAGTTTCAGTTCTAATGTACAGCCATCAGCTGAGGAAAACAACAGCACTGAGAGCGCACTCAATAATAAAATAATTAACTAGAATTTTTAAAAAAATGATCATTTCCTGCTCTGTGCATCACATCACCATATTAACGATGTACTGCAGCATTCATCTCCGGTGCTTTTTACAAGAATGTTGCCTTTTACTTTTTACTTTTGAAGCCTTCGTAGATTTTTAACAACCATCTGATAACATTTCTGGAGTAGGTGGCACTCGCAGGGATCGTTTTTTTGTAGAATAAGTCATGATCTGTGAAACACCAAAGATGTGACATTCATGTCGGGTATGTAGACGGAGATTCGTAATTCGGGGCACAGGCCAAGTCCGATCCAGGTTAAAGGTTACTTTGTCAGAAAGCGAAACAATGTTTTCAATTTGTACCTTATCCTTGAATTCATGAGCACATACAGCACAGCACACGTAAAGCATCAGCTACAATCAGGCTCAACAGAGGACTACTGAAAAATCATTTCAGGGAGTCATTGCCATGATGTCTGCCACCATTTCACGCATGTTTCCATAAATATCATAGTAAAAAACATTAACTGTCAGTTTCCTCTGAGGTAAAACATCAAAATAAATATTTAAATAGGAGAAGAAGAAAAGAAATATGGGAGAAAAGAACAACAGGTTCTTACCATTATGTTCTCCTTGTTTCTCTTGCATGTGTCTCATTACTGAATGGACATAGAGTCTCTTTTTCTTCTCCCAGTCTGACCTCCTGCTGAAGATCACAGGCCTGAAAAGATACAAGCACATGGCCCCACAAATCTGTAAATATGAGGCTTCTAGAGAACAGGCCGAGCGCCTCTAAAAACCAGAGCGAGGCTAGTGTGGTCCCACTGCTCCCCCTAGAGGTAACAGTACCTTTGAGTCCCGGAGCACTTGGCAGTCCGAGCACGTGACTCTTCCTCTGGTTTTGTGGTTTGCTGGCATGGAACAACAACTTTTGATTTCACCTTGAGGAAGCACAGAATATTTGTGTATGATTGCTGGGTTATCACAGTTTTTTTAGCTTTACAAATATCATTAATTTTAGAAAAACTTTTAGAGCATTTTCTTTGAACTCTTAATATGACACAAAACACAAACAAATATATTTTAGTTAATAAAAATTCAGGTAGAGCTGATGGGCTACACGGGCCACAGGAATCATGCTGACCTAAGGGAGTATTCTGCCTTGCAATGTTATCCTCACAACCAGAGGAAGGTGGGTAACAAACCCTGACACCAAACCAGGGAGAGACCCTCAGTGAGACAAAGGAGAGCTCGCCAATGTCAATCAGCTTAGAAAATATCTGTGTCGATCCACTGCAGCTCAACATTTACCTCTCCAGAAATGCCCTCGAACACGACTGTGATCAAACTGATTGGTAACAATATGCTGTGTAAAGAGCTCAATCATGGCAAACACATGGATTTATGCAGAGATATTCCTCCAAGTGCACCACAATCTGCTCAGTTCAGCTAACATACCCCTGGATTAGCGAGGGTCATGATTTCCAAGTGTTACAAATGACAGACGTTACTTTTGTCTTAAAATATACGTTTTCACTTGTTTTTAAACCGCAAAAATGGGCCTAGGTGCTATGACATCACCATTATTTTCATCTTGGGTAACTTTATATTATGAATCACGTTGTGATGAGTGAAGGGTGGATTCTCAGTGAAACCACAGTCGATGAGCATACCCTCGATAACCCGCCTTTTCTGGCTCTCAAAATGATCAAAATGTATAAAATGTACTTAATGTTTTACTCAACATGATATAAAACGATCAGCAAAGTGTTAACAGAGTTCACAGCTGAGGACTGATTTACAGTCTTTTTTTCACAGCCGCAGCTATCGCCCCCTTGACGGCAGGTTTAAGGCACTTCTGTGTAAGCTTCATCTTTCATATCCAGAAGACGCATCAATATTTTATAATTCAATACTGGCTTTTCAGAAAAAGAGGTTACATGGGGTTAAGTCTGTTTGGGCTACGATACCAACTTGATTGTTTGTTAAGATTTCAATTAACACACATCTTCCAAATTGTCTGAGATGCACCACTGCACACGTCCCTAGTAAAGCATGCTGCATTAGAATGGAGTTCAAAAGCATCACGAACTCACTGAAGTAATTTGCTTCCTGATAGAGAGATTTGGGACAATTGGGGCCAATTCTCTGCACTATTTTGGCTCTTACGGCTCAGTTATGGCACTGGGCAATGTGAGGTGGACCCGTGGCTGAGATAGGAGCCAAAATTAGGCCAAACATTCATTGCTATCTGGGTCAGGACAAAACTTTGTCTGATTTATTTGGATGTTCTTGTGTGTTCTTGCAAAAAAAAAAAAAGAGAAAAAAAAAAGAAAACATATACAGAGCACTGCTGTAAAGAACAGGAGCAAAGTGTACCTGTACTTGAAGAGGTAAGGTATTTTCCCAGGCGTCCTCCAGATTGGCGTCTTCTGTACTGTGTCCAGATGACTCTGATGCCAGACGTCTGTCACTAGCAGTGTTTGGCCTGACTTTGCCATACGGAGAGGATTCAAGCGTGGGAGGACCGATATCCCACACCCCCTCAGTCTCACCTTCTAAACTCTCCACAACGGAGGTCATCAGCTCCATGAAAGGCCCACTGACAGCAGGACTCAAGTCGTCCACTGCAACAGTAAAGCCTCCAGAGGTCACAGTTTGTTTATTATATTGTGGCTTGGGTGATCTTTGAGGATGACAGCCATTCTCAACCACCCTGAGATGGGGATTTGAGTTACCAGTGAGCTGTTTAGAGTTCAATAACCCATCTCCTTTATGGTCATTTATGGAGGAGAGAGATACATAGCCTCTATCATCACTGACTCCCAAACTCTCTCGTCCAACTCTTCTTTCCATCTCTTCTAAGTGTTGAACAGCAGGAACAGCAGGAAATTGTTTCTCTGGAAACGTGTTGCAATATGGAGCTGTGCAGCTTTCTGCAGGATCCAAATTACCTGCTGCAGTGCAGGTATTAATGGGATTGAGGTAACATATTGTATTTACATCATAGTCAAACACAGGGGAAAATTTTAAAAGGATATTCTCAGATGTAATATGTTTTTGTACGATCTCCTCTTCACCTCCTGGATCTGTGGAGGATCCACACTGCTTGATGTGCTCCGAGTGTAGCCAAGAGTTCACAGGCTGTTTTACTGCACTCCCAACATTTTGCTTTTTAGGTAAAGGTTCAGGATAAGACAATGTTGATTGCTGTCTCACAAAAGGGCTGTAACAGTCCGTAAAACACTCGAGATCAGGGGACAAAGCCTGTGGACTAAGGGGCTTTTTTAACGGACTAACATACCCTTCATCAGGACTGGAATAGTACGGTTTCCTTTTATTTATCCAGTTATTACGGACCTCAATTTCTAAATGATTAAATGTAGAAAACCTTCCCGACTGCTGCAGATCAGCCTTTCTGTTACAGGTCATCCTTGAATACATGGAAAGAGGTTTCAAACTTTCGCATATGGGTGGTTTCAGACAGCAGACCATCACGTTATTTCTTGCTTTTTTATCCATACCTGTTGAGGGTGAAGAAAATTCAACATTATCAGTTATTTTCTTCCCAGCACACACGATTTCTGGGCTGACCACTCAAACCTTATGCCATTTATTTGTTCCCCCATTTTTGTTTAGAAAACAAAAACCTCCAATATAACAAAAGTTTTCCAACTTTAAACATTTAGCCAGCACAACACCAACACAAATATTAATCACAACCTCCATGAATGTCCTCCTAGTTGCTCAAACTAACCAATACACTGTCGTATCCCACAGTAAAACTTAAATAACACAAAGGTCACTTGTCTTGTTGTGTTGTTATGAGATCATGCAGTCCACACAACCCATAAGCTGTGAGTTTTAAAATCAATTTTGCACTTACTCACCCAGGACTTTATGAGCCATCTCCAACTGCTTTGTCCTTTTGGCTACCTATTGTTGCTGTCAAAGCCAAACACAAAGCACAGTGTTATCTTCAAACTTTTCTTAAAGGTTATTATGCAAAGTTTTTACCAGTGGCTCCATAGTGTAATGGTTTACACATTCACCTAACAGGATACCTGGTCTGATCCCAGGACAAGGCACCAGGCTTGTGCCCTCCGAGTTCTGGCGTAAAAAGCTGCAGATCAAACCTGCAGAGTTACCTGCTCTGACGACCACCTGTAAATAAGCAAGCAGCCAAAAGTAGCTTTGGAATTAAAAATAATAATAAAATAAATATTCACGGTAGAATAAAAGCAAAAAGGAAAATACAAAACTGCAAAGCAACTCTAACCTAACTCAAGTAATCTCCAAACTAACAAAAACTCCAAACACTAACATGCACAAACAACTCTAATATCACCCCAGGGAGGGTTTGAGCTTCCCCCAATTTTTTTAAAAGTGGATTTACATTTAAATCAACAACAACAAAAACTTTTTCTTTATGTAAATCCAGAAATTCAATCACCACATTACAAGTCACTGATTTGAACTGTGCGGTTTTGTTTTGATCTTTTTTTGTCTTTGAGTTCGATTTCGACAGTCATATCACAGGTAGGTAAAACTGCACGCGTGAGCTATCCATCCATCTTCATCCGCTTTATCCGAGGCCGGGTCGCGGGGGCAGCAGCCTGCTGTTCAACGCGTGAGCTGATTAAAAAATAATTTTCCCATTTATATTGTTAGTTAACGTAACTTAAATTATGTTGAAAATTAAATATAATGCTATGGGTTTGGGGAACTTTGTACATTCTCTAAAAAAACAAAAGCAAACTATATCACCACTAAAAACACTTGCGTGCATTTCACTTTAGTTTTTTTTACGTTTCGGTTTATTAGCTTAGAGTTAGCCAAATGCTTAGCCAAACAGCCGAAATCAGTTTAGTTGAGCCCAAACGTTCCTCCGCACTTGGTTAAAGACAAACTTTTTGTTGGCCTTAGGCCTGGAGACTCTAGCCCCGCGTTATTTTTTATATTACCTAACTTACTTCGCACCTGCTCGGTCCTCAAAAACACACGTCCTTGCGCACGCTCAGGCCTAACATTAGCTTTTAGCTTGTTACCTTCATCGATATTTTGGATATGCTACAGCTATAAGACCACACAAATAACATGAAATAAAACTCACCTCTTTCTTGGAAATTAATCTGCTAGACACGCACACGCTTTCCTCTCTCGGTAGCGCGCACAGGTGTTTAAACACACGACGCACATAAAGGTTAAATGAGCAGGCGACACTGCAAAGCTCAAACTTGAGGTGAACAAACTGACATGAAAACGCTCACATGTTGTTTACATCTGTGCTAACGCTTCTGATTGGCCAGAGGCTTAAAGTACATTTAAAAAGATTAGTCTATATAGTTATTTGTGTCTCTTCAGTTTAGGCCCACACACTGGAGTAAGGTTACGGTTTACATGTTAAATGTCACTGCCCTTTTATTGACTTTATTTTAATTGATGTGTCATCTGGCTTTATCGATAAATCCAGGGATCATCTGCAAATCAACTAATAATCTTAAATATTGATAATAAAAATGTATTATCTCCAATTTAATACTTTTTTGGATAACCTTTTCCTTTCATAAATGAAATAATTTACTTGTATTTACTTGTATTACCTAAACTTTTATGATGTGAAACAAATGACAAATATGCAAAACACAAAGTCATCAGAATGAGGGTGAATACTCCATATAATTCCCGTGTGCAACACGGTGCATTCATGCCCCAGGTTGACTTTGTTCAGGTAATAGGTCTGTAAACTGGGGAAGCCTCAAGTTCATCTAGATGTCAAATTCTTCCCAGGCCAGCTCCTCCTCCAGGGATGGATACAATATCACTTATTAGATGATTGTGTGCAATACCTTCGTTGTAATCATCCTCAGTCAAGAACTATAAGAGCTCTACTTTTCAATATAAAGCACCTTGAGATAATTGTTGTTGCAAAA